AATATTGGACTGCGGTCCCTTTAAGAGTTAATCCACGGACCCAATATAGTGTTACACAACATGCGTTCTCTTTCTCAACTATTTAACGTTCCAAAACTGACTGTGTTTAACTGGATACTCACCAAGATGGGCATTTTGACATAATTTTGTATGTATTTGAACGGTGCATCTCTAGTTAAAACAAAACAAAACAAAAAAATAGTCGTTTGTCTCAATAAATTGAATTCATTTAAAAATACAGTGGTTAAATGTAAACATTTTTTTCTATTGCTCTTTGTTTTAAAAAAGGTTATAAAAATGTCAATAATTATCGATACCGAACGATATGAAACATTATATCGTTGATACATTTTTTAGCTATATCGCCCAGCCCTAATTACAGTTACATTTATTTTGTAATTAAATTACGTAACTCCATTACATGTAACTAGTTACTACTAACTAGTTACTCCCCAACACTGCTAATACATAATATATTATGCAATCTGTTCAAATAAAATGGTTAGTTAGCCTTACAGCCAGTGCATTTACACTGAAAAAATGGTAGGATTTAGTTTGAAACAACTTTCAGCTAGAATTTGCTAGTGAATTTCACAAATAATTACGAATAAATGGCAAGTAACACTCTGAATTTGAAGTAGAAATACTGAAATATTATTATTTTAATTTTTAGACCTTTTTACCTACAGTACAATTATGAATTGCATGTTAGACATTTTGCCTAAAATGATCATGCAACTTTTATTTATTTTATTTATTTGTTTGTTTGTCTATTTATGTATTTATTTATTTATATATTTTTTATTTATAGTTAAGTTTTTTGAACGTCAAAAAATCCATTTGGCCCAGAAATTCAGTTTGAAGGGCCTTGTCTCTTGTTCTTGGCTGCTTTCTAGGGTTCAGCTAAAAGCCTTTCATAAAAACAAAGTGTTAGTGTGAGAAAGTTTGCTTCTTTAGTAGAAGGTCAAGAGGCAGCTGTTTGTCATTCTGTCGAAACGATTTATTTGAAATGATTTCTTCTTGCCGGCTCTTCTTGACCTAAATAAAATTGAATTCCTCAACCAAAATCGATAAAAAGATGAGATTATAGATAGCTTACGCTGTAGCAAAACATAAATAAAAATGAAAAGTATTGAATTGCCTTATCCATGTCAGGGGGCGCATGTTTGAATAAGCAGCCTTGTCTAACACAACAGTCTGGCATCCCAAAAGTCCAGGCAGCAGAGGCTTGCAAATCTCAAATCATCTCCATATCCACATTTGATAACAGATGGCATGCGTGCAGTGTTTCATTATTCACTGAAACAAAACAAGTTGATTCAACTTAAAATAATTTGTAACCTGGCTGCCTTAAAATGTTGTTAAATAAGCTAAAAAAAATTAGTTGTTTAAACATATGTTGGAGTTCCTTAAACCTAGAATTATTAGTCGGGTTAACAAAGGTGAAGCTGAATCAAATTTATACTTTGTCTAACCAACAAGTTTTTAGTTAGCCCAACAAGACAAGAAAGTTGAAACAACATAAAATTAGGCAGACCAACAAATATTTAGGCCTGGTTTCACAGACAGGGCTTAGACTAAGCCAGGATTAGGCCATAGTTCAATTAGGGCATTTAAGTTATTTTTTAATAAATTTGACTTAGAAAACACATTACTGGTGAGCATCTTGAGACAAAACAAAGGCACTGATATATTTTAAGATCAGTCAGTGCAAGTTTCTTTCAGTTGACACAGCTCAAACTTACATTTTAGTCTGGGACTAGGTTTAAGCCTTGTCTGTGAAACCGGGGGTTAGACGTATAAACTAAGCATTTTGTTGAATAAATGTATAATTATAAGTTGTGCAAACTAAATAAAAATTGGCTAAACTAAGCATCTTGTTGAGTTAACTTATCTTTTTAAGGCAGTCCTGATTTTCCCATTTGCAACAATGTGGATGAAATTGAGCTATTTTGCATGTAACCTTTTGGCTCGACACACATAGCAGGTATCAGGAGCACCAGGCGTGCGTACAGGAATTCACCCAGATCAATTATGGTGAGTGCCAAATTAAGCATTGTTCTTTTTCCATGCACTACATCAGTGGAGTAAACAAATGAATCTTGCCCATGGATATGAATCCTGACAGGAATACTCATACATCAACAAATGAGCACTGGCTGCCTGCAGCAGGATTCTGTAAATTAATCCTCCTAACCTTAAAAGGATGCTGGGTCATATGTTTTTAAGTGTGCTCGGGTGGCATTTCGCTCCTCGGTCCAACACACAATATAGGTGCGCAGAATTTATTTTTGAAAACCAGACTCGAGGTACCATTAAAGTTCTATATTAAGATAATAGACGGTGGCACTGATCCAGGTGGACTCTTAAGGCTCGGTAAATATCCATTGTAAAATGTTCAGCTACATTAGAAGAGTCGTCTTCCATTCTGTAACGCATGATGTTTTATTATGCAAATAAATCAGAGATATTAAACAGATGTGGATGGTCCCGCTGAGAAAAGGCCATTCAAACCTCATTTGTTAATTATGGAACTGCTGGGTTATTGATTGGGCAAAGCTATGATTTTCCCCATGCCATTTGGGGAGAGAACTGTGTCTGTTTTTGGGCAGTGTAAGATAATAAACACAAGTGTCAGGGGAAATGGATTGAAATAAGTATGTGTGTGTGTGTGTTTGTGGATTTTTTTTTTTATAGAGATTGTGCACATTCTCTCACACTCTCTCTTTTCCGTTGACCTTGAAAGGCTGTCAATATTGTATGCAAGCTGGTAGATGTTGTCAATAATGCCTTGTATTATTTTTATGGAATTGTCTTAATTTTCTTTATTTTAAAGTTAATTTTTACTTTTTCATTATATATCTATATACATTCTGTATTTAGATAATTTAAGATTTATAAATATATATTACATTTTTTTTTTTATAGAGATTGTGCACATTCTCTCACACTCTCTCTTTTCCGTTGACCTTGAAAGGCTGTCAGGGGAATGTGAGTGTTTAATCTGTGAAAGTCTCAGACGTTGCTGGGAGGAATGTTTCTGACAGAATTTTAAGCCTTTATTTCTTTAAATAGTACGCAGGGGGCAAACTCAGACAAATGGACATTGAAATGAGAGTGGCATTGAGATTTAGAGGTTCTTTCATGTGTTTCATGGCTCAACGGTATATTGTGTTATATAAAGTATAGGCAGTGTTTTATTGTCTAAAAATTCTTTTTATGGAAATGTTTTCAATATTGTATGCAAGCTGGTAGATGTTGTCAATAATGCCTTGTATTATTTTTATGGAATTGTCTTAATTTTCTTTATTTTAAAGTTAATTTTTACTTTTTCATTATATATCTATATACATTCTGTATTTAGATAATTTAAGATTTATAAATATATATTACGATAATTTAAGATTTATAAATATATATTACATTATATAAAGATTTTTTTAAAATCCAGTTTATCTCCAAATATAGATTGTGATTAATTGCAATTTATTTTTATTAATTAAGCAGTATGTATTTTTAATCTAATCATATTTTTAAATCCCTTTTTTCCAAATATAGACTGTGATTAATTGCAATTTAATAAAATTTTTATTAGAGTTTTAGATGATTATTTTGTGTCCGAAATGTTAAACATTTCAGTAAATAAGAATGTTTCTTTCTGTAACAGATCTTCAGAAGATGCTGGCTTGTATTCAAGAAGGCGTCCAGTAAAGGACCACGGCGATTAGAGAAATATCCAGATGAAAAAGCCGCTTACTTCAGAAGCTTTCACAAGGTAATTGAGATTTCCATGCTTCATTTTACATTTTTACATGTTTTACTCAATTTATGCTGATTAATATCTTCATTTTGATCACGCTTACAAATCAGTAAATTAAGAGGCACATAGGGTCCATTCTGTTTAACATGCATCCTCGGTTCATTCCAGGCTCAAGGATAGCTCTATTCATTACCTGCGTAATTTATTTGCACAGTGCCCCTCATGAGAAGTTCCTCTGACAGTGAGAGCTCTGGCTCAAGGGTTCACGCTGTGAAAGAAACTCAGAGTCTAATTATTTAGTTAGCAGGGGTCGTAGGTATTCTGGAGCGAGTGCTGTGTGATACTTTTGGAGCTGACAGTAGCTCAGGTTAAAGGTGTAAACGTGAGTACATGTCTGTTTATTTGTGTTGTGGCAGATGCTAATATGATGTGCTTTCTGTGGATTGTTGGTCAGAGGCTTGTATCTGACATTGGCATCGCTCCAATGACTTTGAAAGTCACTGTGATAAAGGATTTGATCAGATGGTCTTATCAGCATAGAGTACCTCTACCTCACCCGCGCTGAAATTGCTTGCAGGGGTTTGGGATTTCCCCAGGTGGTTGACACATGGAGTACAAAAATTATAGATTTATTATAGATTGATTTTAGAAATAAATTATTGATAAAAAACAGTAGTGTCCTTTTAAGAAAAAAAGCTGAATTTTCAGAAACCATTACTCCAGTCTTCAGTTTCAGATAATTTTCCTTCAGAAAACATTCCAATATGATGATTTGATGCTCAAGAAACATTTCTTGCTTAATATATATATTTATATATATTTTTATTTTTTTATTTTTTATATTTATTTTTGGCATTTTTGCCTTTATTGTGATGGACAGATCAGACACGACAGGAAGCGAAGTGGGAGAGAGAGGGGGGCGGGATCGGGAAAGGTCCTCGAGTCGGGATTCGAACACGGGACACCCTGAAGTGCAATGGCGCTGTATGTCGGTGCACCGACCTTGCTTAATATTTTTGTGGAAATCATAATACATGACTATCTGAAAAATCTTTGCTTAAAAATTTCAAAGGAACATCATTTTTATTTGAAATTAAAATATTTTGTTACATCTTTTTTCTTTTGATCATTTTAATGCAGCCTTAAAGTAGTATTTAATTCCCTTAAAAAGTCTTAGTGTTTTAACTAGGTATATATAAATATATATATACACTGTGTGTGTGTTTGTGTGTGTGTACA